GCTTCAGGTAGTGATAAATGCAGCAAAGGGGAAAAAGAAAAGACCTTACTTGGTAATCCTGCCCCTCTGACTAAGCTTGTCCTTCTCACGTCCTTTCTTCCCTCCTTACTCAGCGGACTCCGTGGTCACTATATTCACTGTTACCTTCTCCTTTAAACCCCTGCCTGCTTGCCGGCCTTTTCCATTTTGCACCTACTACCAGGCAGCTGAACGTGGCTGGAGAAAACACTAATGCTAACTCGTCTCACTTTGAGGCACAAACCTCAACGGGTTCTCCCAGCTGCCTGGCAGCCCTACTCCTCTGTCTCCCATTTACTCCCAGCTGCCTGGCAACACTACTCCTGTATCTCCCTCATTCAGCTCACATTTCCTCTTTCTTGAAACCTCTAATAGTCTTCTTCCATACTTACAGTCAATGGTTTTGCTCCTGATTCCAATGAGAAATTTAAAGGAATAAGAACTTGTAAAATTCCCACTATCTCTGCCAACCTCCACCCCATATATGCATACATATGTTGTCTTCCCTCCCATTAATCTGTTGCTATATTTGAATATGTCCCCAAACTTCACGTTGGAAACTTAACCCCCAAATTCATATGCTGTTGGTATTTGGGGATGAGGCCTTTAAGGATGTAATTAGCGTTCAGTAATATCATAGGCATGAGGCTCCCAGGATGGAATTGGTAGCTAAGTAGAGGAGGCCAGGCCTGAGCTGGCCCAAGTTTGCTCTGTCTCAGCACCTGAGCCCCTCTATTAGCATGCAGCAGGAAGGCCCTCACCAGGGACTTAGCAGATGTTGGCACCATGCCCTTGGACTTCCCAGCCTCCAGAACAGCTATGCAAACTCTATAACTCTCCTCTATTCCTTATAAATTACCACGTCTCTGGTATTTTTGTTATAACAAGAGAAAATAGATTAAGAGATATGAAGAAACTGTTCACTGCCCAATGAAGGACAATTCCCCTTGTGCACTAGATCCCATCTCCTGTCCCCCAGATCCTTCCTCCACAGCCTGCAGTAGGCAGACAGCCCCCACTGTCAGCTCCTTCAGGATCTGCCAAAGCTGCGGTCCCTTCAGGTCCCTTCAAGGAGGTCACACTGTTCCTGGGCAGCCTACATGCAGTGCCTGCACAGTGTGGGGAATAAAAGCCCAGTCATTCAGGACACGCAGAAGAGTAGTGCCCGCTGCACAGCTCCCCAGGGGTTGGCTGAGTGCTGTCAGGTCAGCTTTGCAGTCTGACCTATTCCTCTGCCCCGTCTCATTTCCTCTCCTTTCCTTTCAATGCAGAGCATTGTTCATTCAGCAACAATACAGAAAACACTTGGTACCCCAAATTCTTCTTCAGCATCTGCTTACAGAAAACCCAACCTGACATACCTGCTTTAAGTTGGCTCCTGCTTATGTCCCCTGCTTCTCTCCCATCACCGAATTTTCTCTTTTGCAATACTTGGAATTGAACCTGGGGTGATTTACCATGAGGTACATCTTCAGCCTTTTTATTTTTAAAATTCTGAGACTGAGCTGGGCACAGTGGTTCATGCCTGTAATCCCAGTGGCTAGGTAGGCTGAGACAGGAGGACCATGAGTTCAAAGCCAGCCTTAGCAATTTAGTGAGGCCCTCAGAAACTTAGTGAGACCCTGTCTCAAAATAAAAAAAATAAAAAGGTTAGGGATTATGGCTCAGTAGTTAAGCACCCCTTGATTCAATCTCTGATGCCAAATAAAATAAAATAAAATTCTGAAGCTTACTAAATTGCCTCCAAGTTGCTGGGATGACAGGTGTGAACCAGCACACCTGGCTTCTGTAAGATACCCTTTTTGTGTGTGTGTCTGTGGTACTATGGACTGAACCCAGGCATGCTCTACCACTTAGCTACGTCCTCCCCACTTTTTATGTATTGTTTTCAGACAGCATCTCACAAAGTTGGCCAGGTTTGCCTGCAACTTGCAATCTTCCCGCCCTAGCCTCCTGAGTGGCTGGAATCATAGGCTGCACCACGGTGCCCAGTTCTGAACTTTCCCCTTTCTCCTGATTCATTTCCATCATCATACAAATTCACAGTAACATCTCCCTTCCTAAAAAAAAGAACTAAACTTGCTTTGCCCTACAGTTTGTCTCTTTCCTGTTAGCCAAATTCCTGGACAGAGTGTCCGCATGCATTCCTTGCATCTCATACCTGGCACCTCACACTGACCACCCCACAGAGACAGCTCATCCGCATCGCTGACAACACAACACTGTTGTATCCAATGCTCACTCCCAGTTCACATCTCATCTGACCTAGCAGCAGCATCTGACCCCGTCAATCACCCTCTCCTCAGAAGACACTCCTTTGTCACTTGGCTTCTGGGACACAGCTTCTATTTGAGCCTCCCCCCACTTCACTGGTTTAGTTGATCTTCTCATCTTCTTTGTTGGCTCCTCTCTCTCCAGAAGCTGAACACTGCAGGACTCAGGGTACAATCTTGAACCTCTTTCCTCCCCGGGCACCTGTATTCACTGTCCATGATCTCATCTAGTCTCAGAGCTACTACGTTTACATCTTGAGCTAGAGCCGTGTCCTTGAATGCCAGGCTCTTATATCCAACTGCCTATTCAGAATTTCCATTTATATGCTCACCAAAATCTCAAACCTAACATGCTTAAAACATGTTCCCACAGGTCCCTCCCCTGAAGAAGAAAAAAAAAAAAGCCCTGCATGGCTGACTTCACCCTGATTCTAACCCCCACATACAATATGTTAGAGAATTCTCTAGACTGTATCTAGTCTCTCTCCACTTAAGTTCTCTTTTCAAATGTCATCTTCCTTAATGCAAGGATTAAGATCTTCATTAATCATCAAATATATAAAATAAAATATAATCCACCTTAATGTTACCTCTTATCTCCTTTAATCTGATTTTTAACTGTTTATCACAAAATATATTGGCTGAGTTGTTCACTGTCTGCACGATAATGTAAGCTTCTAGACGGCAGGTACTTCGTATCGCTCTAACCAGGGGGCGCTCTACCAATGAGCTGCATCCTTTGTGTTTTATTTTGAGACAGGATCTTGGCTAAGTTGCTCAGGCTGGCCTCAAATTTAGAATTGTCCTGCCTCAGCCTCCCAAGCAGCTGGGATTACAGGCATGAGCCACCTTGACTGGCTCAATTAATATTCTTGAATGAATGAGAAGAAATGGTAAGGAACTATTGATGGGTTTTGGATGGAAAATGACTTGAGTAAATGTGAAGGAGGCAGTCATCTGAGAACTCAAAGAACAAAGCAGTCCTAGCAAACACAAAAAACAAAACAAAAAAACTAGTAAGTGTAAGGCCCCAAAGTGAAAATGAACTTGGCCTCATGGAGCATCAAAAAAAAAAAAAAAAAAAAAAGGCTTATGTGGCTGCAACATCCAACTTTGTCAGAGACGAGAGGAGAGAGGTCGTTGGCAACCGAATTACATAGTTTTATAAACCAGGACAAGAATTTGCATTTTATTCCAAGTATGATGTGGATCCACTGGAGAGTTTTCCAGCAAGAGAGTAACTAATTTGAAATTTTTTTAAAAAGCTCACTTTGGCTGTTGCGTGACTAGGGGGGATTAGGCATCAGCAATAGGAAGGTGCGACTTAGTGACACAGGCTTCCAAGCAGAAGAGAGTGCACAGGATTCGAGCCAAGACAGTAGAGAGGGAAATGAAATTCGCGAGAGGAAGGACAGGATTTGCTTGTGTCCGGGATAGCTGCACAAAAGGACAAGAACGGAGTCAAGGAAGATGTCTAATTTCTGCCCTGATTAAACCCATCGAGTAAAGGAATCCTTGGGCAGCTATTGGCTGAGGAGCGGGGAGAAAACGGTGGCCATCACCAACGGAAGGGGGCCACTGGAAGGGGAAACACTGCATTGCTTTCGGAGCACGGCGTTTAGGTGCCTGCGGAGGTGCGCCGGGGCTCGGGCGGGGTGCGGCTGCAGGAACTCGGGGCTTCCTCGGTGACCGGAGGGAGGGAGGGAGGGCCCGCCACATGGACCGGCTGCAATCCACTCGAGTGGCGGGTGCAGGGAACCCCTAAGGGCGCGGGACCTTTTTCCTTACAGTGCACTACAAGGGACGGGACCCTCGGAGGCAGACCCGGGAGTCATTCCCCGATCAGGTCCGGAAGTCGCCCTTGAGTGACCCGCCTCGGGGAAGGGCTGCCGAGGGCGACTTCGGGGATTCGCGAACTTCTCTGCCGCCGCCCCCCCCGCCTCCCCCGCCCCGGCCCGGGACCGCTCATCCTCTTTTCCGGGAACCAACCGTGGCGAGGACAAGCACGCAGGCCCCCTAGCGTCCTTCCGTCCGCTCTGCGCGCCGGGCCGGCTCGCCGCCCGCTCCGCCCGCCGCTCGGGGCGCGCCCCGCCCGCGCCCCCTGCGCCGCGCCCTCC